CAGATACCATACAACAAATCTTCAATTTCTTATGCATATATTGACTTGTAGCAAAATTACTTCCAAGAAACCTTGAAGCTAGAGGAGGAAGTATTGTCATGGACATATAACTGAAGAAGGTTTGAAAAGATTCTAAGAGATTTTAGAAGGTTTTAAGAAGGTTCCAAAAGGTTTTAGTAGATTCTAAGAAAGTTTTAGAAGATCATAGGAGATTCTAAAAGATTTTAGGAGGCTTTAGATGATTTAGGAAGTTGCCAAAGAAGGATCTTAGGCTTGCTTTGTTCTCAAGCCTAATAGAAATTTCTCAAGAAGCTTCCTAGGACCTAATTTATATAGGAGTCAAGGCTAAAGAGATCTTCAATTTTGGCAACTCACTTCTTGTGGTATAGCCAAGATCTTCTTACATTGTATGAAGTTATTGTTCTAATGTCGAGCTAATTCCATTTCTTGGTCTTGAATCCTTGTCTTGTATATGATCACTAAGAGCTTATATTAAAGGAAAGCAATAATGTAATCTTAATCAAAAGAATACAAAGCTCGAATATTGTAAGTGCACTCATGTCAATCTGTCAAGAACATAAATTGAAAGAAAATACATAAATTTATGAAATCCATGTCAAAAAAAAAGTAACAAAATAAAAAATTAAAAAATATATATATTAAAAGAAAACTAAAATGGCTATTGCCAAAAGATAAGGAAATTAGACATTCTTGAATCTAGAGTAGAAGCAAAAAAAGAATGGACAAGATTGAAGAAGACTTCACTCTTGCCTCTATATATACTATCTACCTAGGATCTATGTGGTGATATTCTATAAGACCTCCAAAAATGTGTTGAATTCGTATAACACATATCTTGACTTGTAAGGTAAGTTTTTTATATGGGCACCATATAATAAGCTTGTTGACCAAGTTTTTAACCTATCAATCAATTACAAAGACATGTAAAGTTAAAAAAACATCTAGAAAGCTTTTAAGAAGATTTTTTAGAAAGTATTATGAAATTTATTTATTTTTATATATTTTTATTTATTCATATTACTTAGATAAAAATTACAATATATATATATATATATATATATATATATATATATCCATAATAAGAGGTAATGTCACAAATATACATATTCACTATGATATTTATCTATATCAATAAGTAGAAATAGATTTATTTCATATTATTATTTAAAAAAAACTTCCTAGAAGCTTCATAGATGATGTTTTGACTATAGATGTATTTGTAGTTAATTGATAGAATAGAAACTTGGTTAATTAATTAACCACATGTTAATAGCTTACAAAAAGAAGTTAGTTATGTGGTATATATATAGAAAATTTGTCTTGTAAGTTAAGATATGTATTTTGTAAAGTCAACACATTTTAGAGGTCCTATAGGAAATCGCCATATAGCTCTTAGTTAAGAATATATATGGAGGCAAGATTGAAGCCTTCTTCACTCTTGTCAATGCCTTTTTAGTCTTTAGTCTTATTTCAAGAATTTTTAGTATTCTTGTCTTTAGCAATAGCCATCATGGCTCAATATTATATCATCTTTGAGTGGTTTTTAGTCTTTTCGAGTTTCATAAGAGTATATTGATATTTTAGTTCTTTGAGGTTCATATCCTTGAGATATATATATATTGAAGCAAAAATAATAATGACTATGATCAAAGTCAAAAAAGACAAAAAAGTCTTATAACTAAACTAGAAGTAAAAAATGTTTTGATAAGAATAAGGAAGGCCTACCTCGAACTTCTATATATGCTATATAAATAATGAGCTACATGTCAATGCCTTACAAGTCTAGCATGAATCTAAATTACAAGACACATGTCTAACTTGTAGAATAAGTTTCCAATAAGTTCACTACATGGTCAACTTGTAGCATAAGTAATCAATATGTGCAATATATGGCTAACTTGTAGATCCAATTTTAACCTACCAATTACCTATAAACAAATATAAAGTCATATTTGTATGTCTAAAAAAATATATTAGTAGTTTAACCTACTATTATTTAATTCTATTTATTCTTATTTATTTTTACTTACTATTATTTTTATTAATTATAGATATTTATGACATGTGTTTATAAAAACAACATGAGCATTGCAAGAAATGCTTTAGAGTTACATATCTTAATCTTAATAACTTTGAGATTTTAGTTTTAAAGATTCATGCACCATAGTTAAGTCTAATATGACATCCTTACTTACGCTCCAAGCTTTTACTAAATTAGATTTTACTTTAATAAATAAATAAATATATATATATATATATATTAAAAATCAATCCATTATATTTTTTTATCATTTAAATATATATAATAAGTAATAATAGATGTTATCAAAAGGGTCAATAATCAATATAGTTTTTTTCTAACAATCTTCTTATGAAAGAACTTAACCACTTCTTTAAAGTATGATGATAAGATTTGATATTATTATTTCTATCTTAATTTGCATAAAGAAATCATATCAATTAACCAACCAAAAATCTATTGAATTTTTTAAAAAATTAAGACAATAAAAAATCTAATATTATATATCATCAAAATTGAAAAAAATCAAAAATGAATAAATAAATATAAGAATATCTAATATTTTCATTAAAATTTAAGATTTATACCATAAATTTGAGGATAATATTTTTTAAAGTATTTTTTCATAATGGAGATATTGTATTCAGTGAAGATTTGAATTGTTTATTTTTTATACAAATGATAAATTCTTCTTTTGTTTCTTAATAATTTAGATTTATAAACATTAGTTGATGCATTTTATGATAAATCTTCTACTTGGTAAAAAAATATTTAATTAATTCTATATTTATATTATACCTTTTATTTTTTAAAAATATAAAAATTCAAAAATTATCAAAAAATATGTTAAAATAAAAAAACAAAAGAATGACTTAATTGAACTACATCATCTGTAATAAAGGAAGACATTGTCTATATTAAATCATTACTATTTACAAATACTTTCAAAGTTAACAACCAATCATAGATGTATTTTGTTTATTTTTATTTTGAGGTAAAAAATTAAGTAATTGAAAGAGCTTTGTACCACTTAAATATTTATAAAGTAAAAATATGGTACATGAGATTTTATGTTTTAGATGTAGAATCTATAGAAATACATGACTTCTTACCATGTATTAAAAGTATTTCTTTTTGCAAAAGCATTTCAATATCAATGGTAAATAAAAAAATTAATTAATCAATTTATTTTTTTACAAGGTAAAAAATCTAACAAAAGAGTCTCAATAGTATAATCACAAGAATGTTATATTAAGTGTTATTTTTTAAAATTAATAAATAATCACTATAATTATGTTTGATCTTTCAAATATGTGGATATAATGTTAATTTTAAAATGAAAAATCAGAAAATTAAAAAATTTAAAACAAAACTTAGAATTATTAGAAATTTCTTAATGATTTTTTGGCTCATGCTTATATTAATACTTATACAAAAAACCAAAGATATGTTTTAAAATATAATTTAAGATATATATTTAGATATAATTAATTAAAAAATATTATAATTAATTTAAATACATATGCATATATGTGTATATATATGTATATATCATATTTGTATCAATAGTGATTTTATTTGGAAACAAAATATAATTGAATTTTTCTATGATAGAATTTTCAATTGACAGAGAAACACATAATTTATCTTCCATGACTTAATTGGCTAAAACTTTATCCACACATTCACATGATGTATAAGCAGTCATAATTGCTACAATTAAAGATGCATTTGAGAATTTTCTAGAAGATTTAAAAAAAAATCCAAATCTATATAACAAATTGAATTTGAAAGAGAATTTGAGCACATATAAGATTTTTGAATCTAGTCATGATATCTACAATAATATCTACAAGAATAAATATAAAAGTATATAAATTATGAAAGATAGTAATCTTATATTTACACAAGTAAAGTAATATTTAAAAAAACCAAATAATCAAAAAATTACATAAAATATACACACATGTTGTATCAATATTTGAATATAAATAACACACTATGTTTACAAAAAATAAAAACAAAACAAATTTGTATTGATCTAGTATTATTGGTGGTCTAACAACTCTCTTTGACCAACGACAATTCTAGACTAGCAACAAAGAGCCTTGGCCACAAGATTAGGCATGGCCATGGGTTTAGTGTATTGATGCACAATGTTATATAGAGCTTTGTATTCACAACAAATTTTTATTTTTAATATTGCTCAAGATTATGCATTATGAACATTGATGTTCTATTAAAATACACAATCCCATACAAGGCTATACATTGTGAACATTGATATCATATTGCAATGGACAACATTGCATGAGGTTGTGCAACCATAACATGGACTCATAGGCAAATACAATGACTCAAAGACTACATGCAATAGTTAGAAAAAAGAACTATGTACACAAAACTAAACCAATGAAACAAAAACACATGTGATATGTTAAAATGTTGGTCTACTAGTATTCAAAAGATTATGTAAATAAATAAATCTGTAGATAAATTTATATTTAAATCTATTATGTATATAAATAAATTTCCACAAAATAAATTATTTAAAGTTTTTTTTTGTAGAAAATGAATAAATGTTTTTAACATTATTGTTACAAATATTTGTATTGATGATACAATTGCTTGTCATCAATGTTTAAGCTTAAAATTAATTTGAGAGTTTTTTTTTACAAGTTGATATAACTTGAAATGTTGGAATGATATTTTAACTATTATTACAAGGTTATTTTGTGACTTATACATGCACAATGATTACAACTTAATGGTTTAAACTTTAGGAACTCTGATTTTTTATTTTAAAGTTGTTTTTCAAAAAATCTATGATCTTTGAATAATACTTTGATAAGTACAATGCTAGTTATGAGTTTCAATATGATGTAGACTTTTGTAATGACATTTAAATCTTTTCCTGATCTACACGAATTTGCTTGTCTTCAAAAGTAAGAAATTCAGATATAAATGGTGGGTCGAAAATGTGTTTTAAAACAAGATACACTCTTCTGGAAATATCCGACTTCCACGTTGGTATCAGAGATGTACATATGTTGTGCAACTGAATCAATAAAGTACAGATTGCTGGTTATGATTCACTTCAAGGGATGATTTCAGGCCTGAAATCAGCTAGCTAACTGTAGAAGCTCTTGAGCATACCGAAGCATGGCCGTTTGCTGGCCATCTTTGTCGAGGTATGTCTGGCGGCCAGCATCAATAATGTCATCTACGACTGCACTACACTCTTTGCCTAGAACCTCGATAAGTTCTTGTTGTGCCCATTTGGTCATCCATGCTGGTTTTGGGCCTTCTCCTAGACCAAAGCCTCTATTCGAACTAGGCAGGATTTGACTCATCAAGATTACAATAAACTCTGCAATCTTCAATCTGGTACCATTCGCAAGGAAGTTCAATACAGGTCATCAATACTGGAGGATAAAAAGAAATAGAAGCAGCAGCAGTAAGGAAATCAAAAGAAGGGACCATATTGTGTAAGCACCAAGTGGACAAGTAATAGTTGGCTTACCGAATGCTGGGATCCAGATGACTGTTTCTAAGCATTTCAGCAATTTTGCGAAGGCCATGCACCCGTTCAAACTCCTGTCAAAAAATGCAATCTATGAAAACAAGAATATCACACAACGCCTGCGTAATATCGTATAATTGGTCTTTGAAAGTAGAAGAAGCTTTACGGGACAGACGCAGTGATGTACTTGACTCGATCCAGAATTGCAGCTTAAGTATGCTTTTCCTGTTGAGTTCAAGCTGAGTTATAAGACTTTATTGCATCCTCTGAAATGTACAGATGCATACCTTCTGGTTGGACGGAGATTCCAGCATGATAGCAAGCAATCCATCCAGGCAGGCACTCTGTACTGGTGATCCTCCAGCTAAGAATAAGTCAATAACCTCCTGCTTTTCACGAACATCACTTATGAGAGAAAGCATCGAACTTTTGCGTGTGTGTAGGTGTATGGATGTATGTGTACATCGGGGAGAAATATTGTGATACAGCGATGGACCCCAAAAACCAAACAAAATTCTGGCATGTAAAACGGGAAAAATGCGAGATGAGAATGAAGTCAATACCGAAACAGCTGCATGCTGCGACGCAGTGGTTCGGCAACCACTGTAAAGCAGGCAGCAGCCTTCCAACACACGAAGTGCAAGAACCACTTCCGCAGTGGTGGAAGAAATCTCCACATCCAAACCAGCTTCTGCACCTGCGGAGATATTGAGGTTCTTGACCAATCGCTTCCGTGGAGCCAATGCGTAATCGAATAACACCGGCACAACTGGCAGAACCAACAAAGGAAAGTATCTCAGACAAGGAGATAAATTGTTAGAGGGACAGCGATTCCTCACTATTCCATACGAATCATAGTTCATAAACCTCACTTGCCAATAATTTCTATGGAGTAACTGGTGCTGAGAGTGGTAGGAGGCTGCAGCTTTTGGAAATGTGGATGGACTGATTGCTCTTCAAGCTTTTGACATTGCCTAGGTCAAATAGATAAAAACAGAGGTAGGAGTTGTGCCTGGAGGTACATGCGGTTTGAAATGAGATCATACTCTAATTGTCAGTGGTTATCACCCCAATACTTTCAAGGTGTGCGCCAATGACAAAACTTGAGATAGATTCGAAGAAGAATAGGTGATAACCACGGCCAAAACCAGGTTCTGTACCACAATTACTCAAATCAATGATCCCTCTCTTAAAGGAATCAAGGATACAAGGATACAGACAAGGATCGCACCAAGCCCTAAAAATCAGTTCTGAAGTGCATATTGTGCACAGGAAGGAGTGGAAAGAAGAGTGACATGCACGAACCTTGAAGCTCTCGGCAGCTCTGGCTGTCTCGAAAAAGCTCGATCACCTTCTCGGAGTTCACAGCAGAGGACATGAACTTGGCAAGGGCATTCAAACCACGCTCTCGCACGAAGGCAAACTCCGATCGCGCATCCCGCAGGCCTCTCCTCAGCGACCAAGCCACTTCCCGGTACATGCGCTGGTCCGAGAGAGCCACAACAAGCTCCATCACCGGCGATTGCTGTTGCTGCTGACGCCCTACGACTTCTGGACCCGCTGCCTGCGCGGCGAGCAAGTCCTGCGCCCAGTTGGGCTGTCTCAAAATCATCGTGTCCCTCTCTCTCAATCAACACCAACCCAAATTCGTCCTCCACGAAATGAATACCTCCGCTTCAACAACACCCCTCTTCATCAAAACTCCGCACTCTACATTTCCATTTCGACCCAGCCCTTCCAAATAGCTCCACCCTAAGCTCCCACGCCACGAATCCTGCCACAGATCTACATACCGTGCATCTACATCACATACCACGACCCAGAATTTCAGTTGTGAGCTACGGGAGGCACCAACGCAGGGGAGCATAACCCCGTCACGATACTTCGGGTGCTGCAGAACCCTAATTGACACCTCTGGAAAATTCTACCCATAACCCAAAATCACACACCCAACAAAGCTAGACATCAAAACCGCACCCTTCGCCCCGGGATCGCATGTTCACGACGAAGCTTTTGTCGCTGGCGACAATCCTGCGCGACGCTTGCGCAAGTCGGAGGCCGGAGCCTGGCTCGGAACCACGGAACCACAGCTATGGCGATGTTTCTGCTTGCACACACATTCATACCAAAAAACTATAGAAAAAAACTATTAAAATAATGATGATAATAATAATAAAATGCTGAAACAGATCTTTTTGTCTTGCATGGGCTTTTTCGTTTCAGAATATTTGTGTTTGTTCATAACTTTTTTGTTTTTGTTTCTGTTTGAATTTAATGTTGAGTCAAAACTAGGATTTTTATGCTCAAGGATTTTGAGGTTTGCTCAATTTTGATTAGAGTTTGATTAGAGCTTTAGTTTTGACCTTAAATTTGTATCATGTCTTCCTCTGTAGGTTTGATTATGATCTAATTACATTTTCTGGAGTTTGTCTTTCATTTATGAGATTTATTTCAATGTGAATATGTTTTTTCTAAGCTTGACCTTTGTGTTTATTAATATGTTAGAAACATCAAATTTAAAATGTGTAACTAAAATAGAATTTGTATACAAAATAAGAATGAGACATTGGATTTTGTGAGATAACAGATTTTTTTGATTAATAATATTATCTTTTATCATGTAGTTCTGAATTAATGTTTTTAATTTTTTTGGTACTAATTAGAACATGCTAAACTGTACTAGACTTGTCTAAACTGAAAAACAAAAAGATGCATATATTAGTATATTGCATGCCACGAATGATTGACTAAACTATACATGATCTGAGAACATATTAATTTTCTTTTTATAAAATAAACATCATATGCCTATTAATTTCTATGAGTGCTTTGTTTCATCAAATTAGATTCCAACCAACAAAAATATATGATGGGTTGGAGCTTTAATATATATGTATATGAATAAATATTGCAATATATCCAAATAAGAAATCAATGGTGTAGCTAGGTGTATTATTCATTAATAAATTATGTAAAAAATACATAAAGAATCAAAATGAATAAAAATGATAAATATGTATTTGAATTCCAACAACTTATTTATGATGTTGCAAATAAAAACTCAAGACACCATTTACAAAAGAAGATCCATTGGAATATTATATATTTTTGGGCTTGTTGTAGTACTCAACTGCAGTTACAATCATGAATGTTGTTCTCCTATTAAACTAATACTTAAAATCTCAAATGGATACATGTATATATAATTACTTACGAAGAAATCACACACTTAAAATTTTCATTGTTGAATCCATCAATACAAACATTGTCTGAAATCATTTTTTAATTTAATTTTTTATTCATGAATAACACTTTCCTTGTCAGAGGCACATACACAGTGCAGGTTCACATGCTGTTTTGATGCCTATCGTCAACATGAGAAATGTAAAAACAAAATTCTATTTCAACCACTCATGTCATCGTTAAATTTCTGAAGATCATAACGGGCACAGTAAAATGATACTAACACTACTAACAAAAAAAAAATAGAATAGTATAATTTTAAGCATTGAAAATATATTAGAATCAGAGCCTTAATTAGATTTCAACACTCGAGGACAGAAATTTGAATCCGTGCCCGGGGGTCCGTTTCACACCGCGGAGCAAAGGGCTTAGCAAGGGTTTAGGGTTTATGAACCGCCCACAGGTCGAGGGGCAATGCAATACAACACAACACTGGGTTTCATAGAAAGAGTGAAGAGTGTGTCTCGATTTTGCGGATGGGGAGGACAATCCGTCGCGCTTCGGCTTCCATTCAACCCTGCGCGTGATCGTAGAGCGCGGGAGAGAATTTTTTTGGTTTTTGTTTGGGTTAGAATGGAGAAGGATTGGCTCGGGGAAGGGGATTACTTAGAAGGGAAGAGTTGGATCTTCTCGTGAAATTCACAACCAGGGAGGGACCGGGGGATCGTGAGGAGCGTGGTGGTGGTGGTGCGTATGGAGCCATGGCAGGGTGGAGGGGCTCCCTGGTGTATAGGCTCCGTGTTTCCGGCACCGCAGCTTCTCACCGGTGCTTCCGCAATTCCATGTAAGCCAAAGTTGAGCCCGATCGTTGGTTGAATTTCGCAAAACCAAGTGATGGATCGTGATAATTCTAACACTTCATGGCGTCGGAAATTGATCGTGTGATGAAGATGGGGTTTGGTTTTGCGTTTTTGGATTCGTTTTGTAGTTTTTGTGGTTTATCGTAATGCTGTCCTCGTGTTGCTTGGGCTCAACATGGTGCAGTGGGCCCTTTGTTGTTCGATGGAATCGGATTGCCGCAGCGGCTTCTATCTACGGGCAGCCCTCTTCCGCTGTTTGAAAGCTCTGTTCCAAGCGTTTCAGAGGTAATTGGGTAGCGTGTGTTTCGTTCTTTCAGCACGTTGATGTGGGTGCGAGCCCTTTGAATCCTTGATATAGTGGTGATTCCCTTAAAGATCCAAACTGCAAATCCGAGGATGATTTCTTAAGATTTTAATTGATTAATTATTGTTCCCTCCCTTGAGTGCAGCAAAAGGAAGAGTTCCTGTCGTCCTCAGCAGATGCGTACTTTCCTGAAGATCTTCTGGAAGAACATTTACAGGAGGACAGTCTATTAAGAATGGGCTTTAGTGATCATAAGTCCCAGATTCTTGGCAATCGCTTGCAACTTGTGGAGGTATTTATTATGCTTTTGAAACAAGAAGTCGCAACATCTCACTAGTGCAAATTACATCTTTTGAAGTGTTCCTGGGTCGAGTATTTTCTTAGTTTTTGAAGTTCTTAATGCGGGTGCGTGTGTCGGCAGTGCAGAGATGGAGACTATGCGTTATTTTTTCCAACAGGTAGGAACACGGACCGCATCGGTGGTGCCCTATGTTCTAGAGATACAGCCAGCAAGTGGCACGTGTCTATCAATGCAGCCTCTCATCATTCCTTGCAGCCTCTGTGGAATAGTTCTATTTCGCTACGGCAACCTGTACTTCAGGTATTCATACAAATTGCAATATTTGTATGAGCTGCAAGTTGTGGATATCAACTAGATGCCAATGGGCATAGTTTAGGTGGATGTGCATGCTGTTATATTTGTGGAGTTTTCAACGGTAGCGTGCAACTTCTCCATGAGTACGCAATCTTAGAATGAATTGACCACTCACAAGCAACTGTTCAATAGGGCATGTTCTTTATCGCAATTTGTTCAGTCGGTTCAGTTTTGTACGTTGTTTTTCGATCTTTCTCCTGATCGAATTTGGCTGTGTTTTTATTACTGTTTGAATCACCTTTTACACTGATGGATGATGTCATGATTGCAGCTGTCAGCAGTAAGGAAAGATCCGTGGGACCCTGGTTATGGTTGTTTGGTAGCAGCTCGCTCATTGTATAAAGTGCAATTTCTAACAGCCAATCAGGAGGTACGGTTAGCGCATTTTTCTAGGCTAAATAGGCAAAATGGGTGCAGGCTAAAGACTTCACTGAAGTCTAAAGGATTCCTTATTGTATCCCTGTGAGGTGAAATCTGTTATGGAATCAGATAACTGGATTAATCAGTATCGGAATCGCTTAATAGCATTTTAGAATCGACACTACCCTAGTAAGTCGAGTGATATTCTCAGGTGTGCTTTGCAAATTCTAGCGATGCCTCAGTTGCAAAACATCTTATTGCCATAGTGATCTTGTTAATGCTTGTTTCGGTCTGTAGGAATTGCAGATAACAAAATGTCGGTTTTACACTAGTTGTGCATGCGTAAGAAATGTTCCTTCCTGTGGATTTTACGAATCATGATTGTTATTTCGAATCTTACGTGGGGACTGTGGCAACTTGTTCTTCACCCTCTTACAGGAATCGCAGTTCGATTTTACTCTTCCGATGACGGCCAGTTTTTCAAAATATGTGTCACATGTAATCTCTCCTGCCCCTGCTCCTCATATAACACATTTGTTGATTGTAACATTTAGTAACAATTCTATCAGGGTTGGCGAGTTGCAGTCCGTATTTACACCACTGTTGACCCTATTCCAAAGCTCATGTTATCCTGTTTTGTAAAAAGTCGTTGCATGTTTTTGTGGAATTCCTTCACCTGCCGTCGCAGAAGCTTAGAGAGCCCACTTAATGGGTTCACCTTGCACCTTCCTACTCTTTAGGCTGAAAAGTGTTAGTATCCTGTTCTAACCTGATTTAACCTGAGTAAAGCGTCACCTGAACCTGGAATTTGCACAGATGTGATAATATCTCTAAAATCTTTCCTTCACAGGTAGCATGGAATCAGCATGTGCAAGGCGAAGCTGCTGTAGTTCTGGAAACCGGGGAGGTTCTGCTGTTTGACCTTCAGCGTGGGTGGTCTACGAGTAATCTGAGTGCCAAAGCTTCTTATAATGCTGTCCCTGAGTCATTGAATTCGTCGACTTTATCTTTTGTTAGTAAAAGACGAATCAGCAGACCAAGATCCAAAATAGCCATGCATAAGAAAAAAGTAAAACCCCCTCCGGTTAGTAATCCATTTGAGTGGTGGCAGTGTGAGTATGCGTGGCATCCCAAGACACTGTTTTTGGCTGGGTCAAAAGAAGTATCTCTTTTGGACTTCAGGGCTAAGCACAAACTCGTGACGGATCAGATGGGGAATTCATCCACAGGCATGGGACATCTAACTCAAAATCTCAATACTTCTGTCGTAGCGAGAATCCCAGGGGTTGGTCGCACAGCAGGCTATTGCAATCATGCTGGTGGCAGTGATGTTGTACTTTCCTTCACAAGAGGTGACCACGATGGAATGTACGATTTTTGCATCTCAACCAAAAAGCACCTGCTTTTGTTTGACACCCGTCAGCCTCGGACTCCACTTTTGCAGGTATGCGGAGTTGTTTGGTATATTTGCAGAATTTTGCATGTTTTTTTGAATTTGAATATCCCATCAGAACATCTGTGTTTTTATTCATTTCACACATATTGAATACTCTGTGGTTGAATTTCAGTGGCTTCATGGCATGGAAGCTGAACCTCCAAGTCTACTTGCTATGTGCCCTATTCCCTCATCAAGCCGAGAGTCTCCAGCAATAGATTCCAGCAAAGGTAGATGTTTTATCACCTGTGTTGCTGCATTCTTTTAATTTTTTCTTGCAAGAAACAAAAGTGTGGGGTGTTTTGTCTTTCTCTCAAATTTAACCCCTACTTTTCGTGTCGTACACTACGTGGAGGGCTTTAGTTGCAATCACTTTCGTTCATCAAGAAGTGTGAGGATGTTCAAAGGTCTCTGGTCGTAGTTTGCAATTTTTGAGATGCATGTACTGAATTTCACTGGATTTTGATTTTTTTTGGTGCTTATTCTTATAACCTCGGTTATGATTCAGGTAACGCCATATTGGCAGCCTCCTTCCATTCGGGTAATGTCCATGCCTTTTGCTACGGTCCTCATTCAACACCTACTTTACCCCCTCAAAATGGCTTGATATCAGTGTTGAACCCATCACACTTGGATGAAAGGATTTATTCTTGGGACTTACCATCTAAAGTAGTAGCCCCTCAGGCTGCTCCCAGTAACTGGGCTGCCATATTGGCTTCTGACATGAATTTTTTCCAGCAAGAAAGGAGTAAAATAGGTCCTTCGAAGAAAACATGGGACCACCTTTCTGGACTTGTTGTTCTTCCGCAAGACTCTCAAACATTTCATAGGTTGGAGACACTAGACGAACTGCCCAATGGCCGAGGCTTTTCTCTAATGCAGCTGACTGGAGAGGGCAATATCTTTGCACAGCATTTTCAAGCAGCGAGCAGGTTACATAGTGCAGGTTCTCAAGTACCTCCTGTGCAAAGCGCCTATGCAGACGCTACTGGTACGTGTTACTGCACTATTGCAAAAATTTAGATTGACGTGCTTCTTTTTTTGTATTGTTTTCTGCAATCTCTAAGATCAAGCTTGTGCAACTTTTATTCGTGCATCTTTCATAATCTAAAGATGAATCTTTGATCCCTATTGAATAGGTATCAAAAGCAGGTCCAAGAAATGCAACGTCATGGAGCTCGGTTATTTCCTCAACTGTATCCTCCTTTCCATCTGGAACGCTGTTTGTTTAAAAAGTTCTCTTGCAGAGTTATGCATATCTATGGGACGTTAAATCTGTAGCGTAGAACGATTTAACAAAACTTGATTCACATCTATATCAAGTTACCGCATTGTCTCAAACCCCTCTTGGTTTCTTCTAGGATCTACATTTGTTCATCTGATGCGTAAGATTCAACCTGTGTCAGATTTGGCTTGTTTCAAAATATCTTGGATTTATCCTTCATTGAGGTACGCAGATATCAGGAATGGTTCGAGTTTTTCCGAGTGTGATGACTCAAAGCCATTCAAACACACGTATGAGGTTAGTGGTGTATCCATGGATTCTGATCATCCATCAGAAGAACAATGTGCTCTTGTACCGTGGAGGTCGTCCCAGGATATTTCGCTCAACCAACTCGCATTCCAGGCAGAAGACGCGCGTGTGGAAGAGGAGGAAGGTTTCCTCCTAGAGTTGTACGAGGATTCAAATAGACAGAAATTGTCGGCGCTTGCAGTTGAGGTGCTGCAGCATTCGAATGTGGCTCTCAGCATGTATCCTCCAAAGTGACCGATAAGGTCAATCAAGAACTTCTAGAATAACTATGCAAATCGTTATTGAAGGCTCATTAATCTTGATTTTAGCGGTAGCCGCTTTAACCTTTACTTTTTGTTCTTGTTGTCGTCTTTGTTGCTGAGTTTTTGATTGAGACTTGACCATTGAAAAGATACGAAATTGCCCATATAGTGCTTCGAAGATATTTACCAACGGACCTGGAAAAGCTGGCTGCGGGTATGCCGGTGGATGGTCAATCACATTGCTCACGGAGGTATTTATCAATGTTGCGGACTTCCCATGTACCGGAGGGTTCTATGATCGAGTATACAAGTCAAGAGAGTAACACAGAGTTATCTGAAGAGGAGTTGAAAGTGCCCCTTCCAGTATTGCTGGAAAGATGCTCATTGGGAGACCGAGGTAAGAGGTGGCTGAACCACATTGATAGGAGAGATGCAGAGAACACGCAGTTGTCCATTATGACTCGGAAGGACTCTTTGTCAACTGGTCGAAGCATACTTCAAGAAGGTTGTGATCATGTGCGACTTGCTCTGCACAATCTCACAACTGAGGTGAGGTCCAAAGAGTTGGTGCCAGATTTATCCTTGGCTGACAGCGTGGAAGCATGGAACAATATTCCCATGGGCGTTGAAGGGCTTGACAAGAGTCACCTTGTTGAGTACCAAACATCAGATAGAGAAATGATTGTTCCCCGCGTACATGGTAAACCTTTTAAAGGGCAGCATTTAGACATGATTTTTCCAATGGCAATTGACCTAAATGGTGGGGAAAGCAGTTTTCTTGGAGGAAACCCATCTGAAGACGATCGTAGTCAAACCTCGGTTTTAGATAAGCATGCTCTACGCACTTTTCTTGGAACATATGTAGACGGCTCGTCGACAGGAAGGATTTCGGAGGACTCACATCTTTGTCCAATCCAGTTGCCTTTCATTTCATCGAGTGCGAATCGGTTACATCCTTGTACCGTCTGTCTTTATTGCTTTGTTTCTGTTTTTAGGTTTTTAAGGCGCTGTATAGGTTTTTGGTTGGTAAGTTGACTTATTATTACAGTAATAATTATCATCATCATCATCATCTTTAAATTTATTTGTATATCACCCCTTTCACAGTGTCTCTCCCTCATGTGCCGGGGTTTTGTTATGTAGTTTCTGCAGGCAATTGATTAAACCTTTCTAATTGCCTGCAGATAAACTTAAAGCTCAATTTTTTTTGTTCTCATTTTCTCCTTCCTACGGTGCAGGTGAAACAAGTGAACATGCAGACCTGTCTGGTTTGAGTAGCTTACGCGATCAGTTCAAGCAGTGGCAAGAGAGATTTGTACCATATCAGAATTTTTGTCGGAATAACTTACCAGGTCAGTTATGAATGGCGATAATGCTCGATGGCAGAGCCTTCCTCCTCGATATAGCTACGAATGATACTTATTTTTGTTTGATCCTGATCTGCATTGGTAACACTTTTTGAGTTACCTGCGGATAGAGTGAGAGAAGAGTTAGTGAGAGTTAGTGAGAGAAAAGTTGTACAACTTGTACATGAAATCCTTGCTGACGATTCAATAGCTCTCAGCAGGGCTGTAGAAATTGATTCCATGGGTGAAGAGGGTCAAAGAGCTCCGAAGATTGGAGTGATTACATTTGGAAGTTAGTTAGGACATAAGAGTTGTAACATGTCACATTCATTTTGATTTTAGACCCTGTCTTGCTCATTCAGCTGTACCTTTCTTTCAGAGAGTAATGTACACTATTGTACATGCAAATGTAATTTGTTCTGGTCTTGTTCCAACAGTATACTCTCCGTCTGGTCGTTACACTACAAAAGAACTGCGTGTACTGGCCGGAATACTATGGTGGTAAAGAACAATTCTGCCTAGGGTGGTTGTAAGCTACCAGACATGTTAAATTGCTAACAAGTGGAATTTAATCAAGTGCTAGAAATTGGAATGCAATTTAGGGCCTGACTGAGCAAAACTAATGATGAATAATTTAGTTTACGACCTGAATGGGAAAAGCTGGTTCTAATGCTTAAGTGAAAGTTTTGTCGTTATGTTGCGAGTAGGCCAATTTTGGAAACTGAAGGGGATGAAAATGAACGCACTTATCTTCGCTTCGCTTCATTACTGGGTTCGTAGATGACGGTCCTCTCGTGTCCTTTGGAACTTGTGCCTTGTTTCCCCGTACCTTCAGAACTCCTTGTCAAAGCTATCGTACTTAGTTTCAAACAGACTCAGTATCCTCATACTCTCTTTCTGAGCTCCTCGTGTCCATTCGCAGTACCGACGGAATCTGTTCAATTCTTACTCTTGTTTGGTCTTCCGCACGAGACGTGTGCGAAGGACTCTAGAATTCAGCACGCTGTCTAGGAAATGGGGTTTGATCCCGTCGGTCCCGCTCTTTTCGTTCACTGAATTCTGCAGCACCATGCTCACTACAGTAACAATTAAGATGTAAAATAAATGTCTCTTAACCATCTTGTCCTGTTGCTGAGATGCATCAAAACTGAGGACAGAATGAAGTTTTTTAAAAAGAAAAAAAAAAGAGTCACGTGTACAAAATAAAATCTCCTTTTCTACCTTTCTTCCGAACCTGTCCAGTAAGTGGTCATTACAGATTTTATCAAAATCGAATTGTGTTAAAAAACGACATTTTTTAAGTGCATTACATTGTAGTAGTTGGTTTTTGAAAGGGTCTTTGTATTTAGGAGATAAGGTGAAAGGTCATAACTTTTAAATATTTTGATTAGTTGAAATTGAGAAATCTTATTTAGTTGATTTTAAATTAGAAAAATGAGTCCAAATGAATGTAGAGGAAAAATTGAGGTGTATGATTAATTTTATCTCATTAAATTTTTGTCGGGCCCATCTAAAGAAATGGTTTTCAGAAAAATTTAGGAAGTCATTAATAAAAATTTAACCAATAAAAAAATTCCTTCACCAATAATAAACCTTTAAAATCATGACCTTTAAAACTGGACTTCTATATGCAAATACCAAATTAATTAGGACCTTTAAACCTCAATCCTCAACGTGCCCTGTCATTTTGCGCAGTTGAAATTGGACCCGCTGGTTGTTGCTCTGCAAACAGTAATGAATTCATGCGTGGGATGAAGTCAAAAAAACAAAAAGTCTTTGACTCAGCATCATGTTTGCAATTGTACAGTTTGACTGATTGCGGATCCTACACTTAATTCTTTGGTGAATTTCTTCAGTGGCAGCTGGAACAGATGTATATATATATATATATATATGTATAAATGTATGAATTATTGACAAGTTGCAATGTTAACGCTGTCCTTGTTTGTTGTGTTGGAAGGTGGCGTATGATTCGTTTCCCATTTACGAAGTTCAATCCAAGCTCACTGCATTATCCTTTTCCCTCGGACTTGTATGTCATGAAGGTCGTTGAATATGTTGAATACTTCATGGCTTCAAAGTTTAAAATTTACCAAGTGTATTCATTTTTTTTAAAACCCCATCTGAGGAATCGATAGATCCTCATCGAAGTATCCAACAGCGTTTCCGGACTCGACATAGAACGAGCTGAAATTAACGCTATGAGAGTTTTCGTCTGTTGCAGGTAAAACAGAAACAATATTCATCTGGTTACCATGGTTGCAGATAGTTACCAGCCTCAGAATTAGTCGGTATTAGGATTCCGATAAGAATCTGCGTCATTCACAGGTGGTGAGCACTGGTATCACTTTTGCTGATGCAGTAGTACTTACACATCTACGGATTTGTCAGGAGCTCTCAGGCTGCTCCATGCGATGCTGTCCTGTGAAAGTTGCCACTACTGATAATCTAAATAGACTTAGCTGGGCTTGATGATCAACGTTTTTGGTGGTGAAGATATCCATGACTCTCCCAACTTGGCCACCTGCAGTTTTAATGACGGGCTGGGTCCTAGCTGACAAAGTAGGCGTTGGCCAGAGAGTAGGGGTGGGGGACTTTGAGGAGGGAGTGTTGTGCTTCAGCGAACCACCAGGCCGGCAGCACGACGTCGCGGAACTAGAGGAGAATTATCGAAGAAACAGCGATACAATGGGCCTTTGAGAGTGGGTTTGTTGAGTAGGTTCTGCGTATTCCATCAGCTGGGTTTGTTTGGTTGGCGGAGAAGACGCTGTTGCGAAACCATGTTTGAAGGTTGAGGAGGTTTTTATGGACTTGGTCAACTGCTTTTGGACCTCGACAATCGAAAGGGTACTCTTGGGCGTCGAAACATCCTTGCTGTGAGTTTCGAATCACAAGCCATTCCAAGCGAAGATAACCTGAGAAGTAAGCAGGGGGGCCTTCATCGTGTCAGGGTTGTATTACAGAATAATCAGCAGCCATGAGGAGCATTGTGTCTCTATGTGACATGAGAAGTTGAATAGAAAGTTCACATGCGATTAAGCTTGTTTTGAGTTGCAGCTTTCTTGTTTTTCGAGAAGAATTGCTGAAGTCGTATCTTGCTGTAGCTGGAAAAAGCTGGTAGGGAAAAGTCTGCAACTACATCAGAGTTACATTGGACACCTGCAAAATGGAACTTCTCTAGTGATAGAAGAGCGGAGCTTCTTCGCCACTTCTCTGCCGCTCAGCAACTTGACCTATTAGCAAGGACCAGTGAAACTTCGCAGTTTCAGTGGTGCTGAATCGTTTCTCGCGTTAGACGTGGTTGGTTGCGATGGTAGTCGGTGCGTGGTGGCTTCTCACCCCGGTACTACTAATCGTGGTCTTCTTTGGGCCTTCAAATGCAGTTTTAAATGCCGACGAAAGTAAGAAATTTCTTCACAGCCAGTGCGATTATCATGTTGAGCTGATCAAGATTGTTTGGTTGTGCTGAGCTTCATTATGTTGAGCTCGAACGTGTTTTTGTAAAAACTCTATGCTACCCTTGCATGTATATCCCAGCCTAGTTTCTTCCTTCAATACCATAAAGCCCTGCAGCTTGGGAACGGCACCACGCATATTCCCAAACACATAGTCGTGTTGTAGCCTATTGAACAAGCTCAAGCACATGGTTAATTCCGGGTTTACGGTGGGATGGCAGAGGATGCGCTGTTGACCATAAAAAACCAGTGGATCACGACCAATTTTACCTCGTGGATCGCTGGCACCGACCCCTGCTTGAATATAACGGCGTGGAGAGGCATTGTGTGCGACGCGCTTGGAGAGCATGTTATCACTCTGTAATGATCACTCTCTCCTGGGTTAATTCTATATGGTCCAAACCAATTCGTTTCAGTCCTTATTGAAATGTTATACATATCATAGTAAGAGACTAAACTTAATGTTTACGTAACTTCCTTTCGTCAGATGAGGAACCCTTACTTCTTCGGTTGCACCCATTGTTGAATTGCTTGTTTCAAACTTGGTTTTCAAACCAAAAGAAGAGTTCGACTTTAATGTGTCTTATTTAAGCTGTGAGAAATTTATACAAATAGTTGTGAAGGTCAGCAGGGTGAGATGATCGATTACAACCTCTCACTTCAGAACTAATGTTGCATGGACAACAGGAACGTAACTAAAATGGGAGTGAATGGATCCATTCCCGAGGCCATCCGAAGGCTCACCTTTTTGGAAAGCCTTGACGCAAGCGAGCCGGACAAAGCTGCTTCTACTAACATCGAAGGAGATTTGGGGCCGCTTGCTAGTTTGACCCATCTCAAGTCTCTGTAAGTACGCAGAAAAGAGTTATAATGTAGCATGCCTACTTCTATTTTCTGATGCTGCTTTCTAACTGTAGGGCATTATTGGCTCGAGTTTCTTTGTTTCAGTTAGATTACATCGCCCCTGTAGGGTCTTGATGATAGTGTTGTGGTAAGTGACTGTTAAATGATGATATTCAGTTGCTCTTCGGACTTACAAGTTTGCGACCATGTAGAGATCGATCAGTCACTCAAGTATTGGGTGCTGTGCTTGTCGAATGCAGGAACATATCAAGAAATTACAGAAATGGTTCGTTTCCAGATGTGATATATAATTTGACGAACCTGGTTGAGCTGTGAGTCTTCCACTCCAGATCCGAATACAACAATTTGTACCTGCTTTCTCGAGCAGCCAACATGATAATAAATGGTCTTACTTAATTTCATGTTACGTTCACCAATGGTGCAGGAAAGCAGACAATAACAAATTTACTGGAAATCCCTCACTGTCGCACAGAATTGGCAACATGAAGAAACTGGAGACATTGTGAGATTTATCTGAATTTTTTGAACCAAAGTGTTTTACAAGCATTTGCACCGAATCATGCAATTCATGGATAATAACACTATGCTGCTCGTAACTTCTGAATGTGAGTTTGCTTAGTTGTTGTAAAAAGTAACTAGCTTCATTTTTGCGTGGCAGGTACCTTGGAAGTAATAATATCGTTGGGAGCCTTCCAGCAGAGCTTTGGACTTTGCGAAACTTGCGGGAAATGTAATTGTGCTGAACTTACCACAGCTGATTTCTTGCTTGTCTTCTGCAAGCTTGAAACAAGTTTTTGTGCTTGTAGGTAGTAAGTTTCTGCTGCTTTTAGATGATGTCAGTAACTAAAATTTCCTTTCACATTTTGTTTAATTGAGTGAAAATTTCTGTCACTGTTTGTTGCACAGCTCACTATGGGAGAACAAATTGGAGTCGGAGATTCCAAAGGCCATAGCGAACCTGACCAACCTGGAGTTTTTGTAAGCTCCAACTACGATTTATCCTTCATTGTCTTTTTGGACACAATTTCTCGATGAACTTTTCTCAGCTTTCATTAATTCATAGCCCATGGTACAAATTTTCATCAATCATGCTCTCAAACTCAAACCAATATTTTTTTTTCCTGATGTTGTAGGAATTTACACGGCTGCAAATTGTGGGGGGGGATCCCTTCAGAAATGGGAGCTCTCAAGCGCATGCGAACTTTGTAAGTACCATCTATCACGTAGAATTTTGATGGGTCCCTTCACAACATTAAACCAGTGCTTTCAATGAGGTTTCAGTTTCTCCACCATCCGTGTTTCAATTTTTGAAGAAGACTTACACATTAGACTAATGGAGAGAGTATTCGGATGCTGCAGAAGGTCGACTGTGTGGTGCGTTTTGCTGTGTCCAGTTGGCTGTATTGCTATGGATGTCCTTATGATCACGTAAATTTTCTGACTCTTCAAAAAATGGATGCCCTGTTGTGTTCATTACAGACAGCTGTATTCTAACACGTTAACAGGACGCATCCCTGATACAATGCAAAATCTTACGCTTTTGAGTAACCTGTAAGTTTTGTCCTCCTCAACTAACTTTGTTTTAAGTAGTTGATTGACGGAGAGTGTGATGATAACCACTTTAAACCCCTGCTGTTTATCTACTTAGACTAATTGGACAGCGTAGTCGTAGTTTTATTGTCTTTTATGCGCAAAATCTGCAATCTTTTATCTGGCCTTGCTTACAAAAACCATTCTGTCATGCATCACTTGATTGGAGCTTATGCTGTGTCAAGCAGTAGACTAGATCAGAATTATCTTTCAGGAAAAATTCCCCAATGGATATGGAGTTTTCAAAATCTCACAAACTTGTAAGTTTGCTCACTCTGGCATCTATTTTTAACTGGGTGGTTTCATTGGATGTCATGTAACCGGCACGCCTATGTCAGTGAGGAAGAAGGGAGCGATGTATAGAGTTCTTATGCACGCAATTGTGTGCGAGGAAATTCTGCCTGCTGAACTTAATAGATGTATTTCTAAGCTTAGGATACCTGATGATTTCCTACGCATATGACAGGCAACTTGAAAAGAATTCATTCGAAGGATCCTATCCTGCAATGTTGCAACAGACCCTGTCGAATGTGTGAGTACTCTCTTACCTTCAGGTGGTTTCGTGGGGTCGACTTGGAATTAACCTGCATGTTGTTGACGTCGATCGGATGCTAATAATTTCTTGGTTTCTTCAGGCAATTAGACTGCAATTACCTGAATGGAGCATTGCCTGTGATGCCTTCGCGATTCAGCAACACACAGTAAGTGAAGTGTTTGCTCATTAATAGACGGCTTCTATTGCCCCTGTTTTGTGAAATGAAGTCTAGGATCCTTTCACATAATAAATATCTGGCATGAGGTGCGAGTTTAGTTCGACTTATCAACTCGTATGCATCGACTGAGCACATTGTGTTGTCCCGGAAACAAATCATTGGAGCAAGTTTTTGTGAGACTGCAGTGTGTCTTCTATGCAGGAAGTGGGATGTGGATGAGAATTGTTTCACTGGACAAGATATAAAGGAACGGAGCATTCAGTGCAAGTGGGGTGCCAGTAATGCCGCATGTACCGAGTACTTTGCGTCTGTTGCGAACGGTGAGCGGTCACAAAGTTTCTGGGCTTCAGAAGAGACAATGTACATAGAACAAGCCTGGTTATGAATGTGCACACATCACAGGGTGCTTTGGCAACAGGGTTCGAGAGTGAGTACCTTGTACGATCGGTTAGAGATTCTCATACACGTGATAGATGTCTTCAGGTGCATGTCCTCCGTGTCCAGCAGATCAGCAGCCCTACAACACTACCGTTTGTACATGCAAACCGAAAGGTACGTTTTTAACAAAAAGGGCATGATTCCGAATAGTCCAAGAGTATGCAGGAAAAAATTACTAATTGAGTGTGTCCACATTGAAGAGGCTCTTTGCCGATCTCAAGCTACTGGAGGTGACTAACGCTGACTATTTCAGATGAAGAGTCAAAGACGAACACTTCAGCAATCGTAGGTGGAGTAGTTGGTGCAGTTGGGGGCGTACTGTTAACTGTGAGTATCGTACTTTGTATATTGTGGAAACGCAAGAAAGATCATGCTAAACTTATGGGCCGCTTTAATCCCCAGCTTGCGGAAGGTACATAGCCACTCCCAAGTCATTGGCCATGTCCACCTCCTGCAAATTCATGGATTTTAATGGATTTAGAATTATATTTATATCTTGTGCTTCAAGTTTTGGAGCCACTTTCAGGTTCTTTGCATGTGTTTCTTTTCAGAGCTATACGATCCAAATTGGCAAGCTCCTGCTGGTGTACAGCGATTTAAGCTGTCAGAATTATCGAGAGCGACAGGTGGGTTTGATGAGGCACATGAAATTGGGGAAGGCGGATTTGGTAAGGTTTTTGTGGGGGAATTCAAAGATGGTAGGACATTGGCGATCAAGCGTGCTTCAGGTCTTGTCTCGAGTTCTCAAGGCATGGCAGAGTTTCGAAATGAAGTAATCTCATCCCTCCTAAACTTCTCTCATGGTCCTTTTAAAAAAAAAAAAACACTTAATTATCGCGACGTTTCCATTGTTGTGGGCTTTGTTTGTAGATTGTCCATTTTAGACCGATAATTTGAGCTTTTCTCTTAGTACTACTTCCAGACATTAAGTTTTGAATTCAAAGTTTGGGTTCTAACGTTTCTTAATCCTCATCATTTATGCAACCGTTACATTTGGTTCATCCAGGTACTACTCCTAAGTCGGCTTCACCACAAAAATCTCGTGCGATTGGAGGGTTTTTGCGACGAATCTGGCGTGCAGGTGGTACATTCTGTCTGCATTGAGTTGTTCTTGAGCACTGCTTCCAATGTTACTGTACGATCAGGACCATACGGATGATTGAGTTTGTATCCAATCACACCCATTTGCTTAATTTCATTCAACTTTGCTCTGAAGTCACTGTATGCATCGGCTCTGCAGGTCCTTGTGTACGAGTTCATGAGACAAGGAAACCTTCATGCTCATCTTTTCCGTAAGCTGAATCCCTACATTCACTTCTTTTGTTCGTAGTCGTTCGGATTTTGGTAATCACAAGTAGTCTAATATGGTTTCTTCGAGCTACGTATTTTAAACATAATTTGTATGAGCAACTAACTCCAAGCTGAATGTTGGCTATGTTCTTGTCTGGACCGGAAGGCTCAACCAAGCGATTGAATTGGTATAAGAGGTTGGAAATAGCAGTAGGCGTTGCTCATGGCTTAGAGTATCTGCACTCTTATGCGGTATCTTCCTCCCCTCCTTTTCTCTTCCATTTCGCTCTGAGAATAACGAAGTGAAAGCAAAGCATTCGTATCTGATGCCTCACCTATCCAAGGAATTTTCTAAATCTGCTGATATACAACTGGTTGTAATTTTTAATGATTGAAATTTGTTAAAACAAGTGCAGGACCCACCAGTGATTCACAGAGATGTGAAACCCAGCAATGTTCTGCTTGACGATAACTTAATAGCAAAGGTAGCTGACTTTGGTATCTCTAAAGCCACAGATACAGAGGCAACTCATGTCTCAACTCGACCAGCTGGCACTGCAGGGTACCTTATTAATCGAACTCTAGCTGTATAAACCTTCTCTTTCTAAATGTAAAGTGCTGTAATTCTTTCAACTGCAAGATGCTCACTAACAGTCCTGTTTATTGGTGCTAACTGTGGCGTTGAAATGTTTCGATGGTCAGGTACTTTGATCCTCAGTACTTCATTCGCCAGCAGCTGACAACTGCCAGTGACGTGTACGGCTACGGTGTGGTGCTATTGGAGCTTGTGACTGGCCAGAGAGCCATTGATCACACACGAATATCTAACTTCAATCTGGTGGAATGGGTAGGTCCGCATGTACAAACGATGCAACTTGATCGCTTGCGCACCATAAATTACAACCAATGTTTTATGCCTTCACTGTTCGTGTCCCTTGGTTTGCAGGTGAGACCAAAGCTAAAAGAAGAAGGAATACGAGCCATTGTGGATCCCAAGCTTGGAGATGATTACCCCGAAGACATCTACCAGGACATGGCCAAGCTTGGTCTGCAGTGCGCCTTATTTGACAAGGATAGTCGACCGACAATGAAGGTTCAGCCTAGTTCAAGCTCCTGCACTTTCTGTTGCTTCTCCTCCTCTTCATTTCGATACTTAGGAGATTCATTAAATTTAGTGGTGGAACGAAATTGAAGCACATTGACGAGGTGGCCGATGAGAGTGTTAACCAACCACTGCTTTTTGTCCTTTCTACAGGAGGTAGTTAATATTCTAGATACCAACCTCAGTAATTGCATACCGCCTCCTCCGTCGGACTATTCGTTTACATGGGAATCCGGGGACTCTGATTATCCAACGAAAGCCAGCGGTAGCGCAAGCGTCACTGGTGCAAGCACAAGTAGCTACGTCAGTAGTAAGCTCACTGATCCCGACCTCAGTCACAAAAAAATGAGCAGCAGCTTGTTGCCGCGGTGACAAAACCTCACTTTGAATTCTTCTATTTTCATCTTTAGAACAAGCGTCTAGAATTTGGTGTGCTATACCGGTTCCAAATTAGAGCTATTCCAGATGACCATGCTTGGTTAGTATTATTCAACTACTGTCTGTTGCAAGTAATTCTGGCTTGTCACTATTGATATGTGTAAAGTTCAGGTCACTGTTTTCAGGAGCGAAGCAATGTGTAGTTTGACTAGTGTATACATGGTAATCAACTAAATCAATGAACTGTTTTGCATTAAATCAATTCTTTTTACATTGCTTTCGTTTTTGAGATGTCGGTGTTTACAGCTCTGAAACCTTGGCTTAGTAGAGAGCTTTCGTAGAGTAATAACCCATATTCGTCTTGAGGCTTAAGACAGACAGAATGCGTATTTTTTCTAAAAAGTTGCCGCTGTTGAGGAAAGAGATAATCTCGTTTTTGTTCAGCTTGGACCTTATATCAGTTGAATTTTGCCAGAACTACAAAATCATCATTTAAATATTGTGATTTTAGAAATATAGTTGAATTAAAAAGTGTAAGATTTTCATAAATATCAAACGTGGCTTTGGTGAAATTTTTAGTAGATAAATTTGCATGGTTATTTTATTTTATTTTATTTTAAAGTTAAAATTTAAATAAGTTTAATTTAGATAACTAGAACAGAAATAAAAAATTTATTATGAATTATAAAGTTTAGTACCTAAGATGTTTTTTAAAAAATTAAGTAGAATTCGTAAGAAAAACCTAATATATAAAAAAGAAATCATTACGTGTTCTAATGATAACAAGAGGCTCAAAGCCTACTGTGAGTAAATTTATAAAAAATATCAGTATACCAAAACTAAAACGTAAACACCAAAACAGATTTGGTTTAGTTTTATGGCTCTATTGTAATTTAATTTTGTACATAATTTTTCATATTTAATTTGTCTAAAACTTAAAAAACTTAAAGTAATATTCTTTTTTGTATTGATGTTGTCAACGAATATATATATAACTTATAAAAAAGTGAGTACAAGTAAAACAAATATCATATAACTAAATACTCCAAATATGATTTTTTAATTTTAATAGGTGTGTATATATATATATATATATATACATATAATCTTTTTAGAGAGTGAATAACTATCTACTTGAAGTAAAAATACATCTAAATTATACTAATCATTCATACTACATCCATATACAAATAAAAATTAAATTTAAAAATATTGTAGGAAAAGTTTGTACTAACAAGTAACAATTTCTTTGTTCTACATGTCTATGTATGTGTGCAAATATATATCAGATAGATAATTCATAGTTGATTCTATAGACGTCATCTTTGAAATGACAAAATATGTTAAAGAAATTACCACATAATGACTTCATTTCCCTACAACTTGTAAGATAAATATCAGATAGTTTTTGAAGTTGTCACCGTAACAAATATGAACACATTTTTGTTAACACAGAAACCTAGACCATGCGTGAGTATTGTTCAACAGAACCTAATATTGTAATGTCTCTTTGTTATTTCATCAAATCTCTTTGTCTTAACTTGCATCAGCATTGTTCTAATCCCAAAATCACTCTTAATTTGAATAAGGATTTTTCAATTAGTAATCAACAGACACATGATTCATAGTTAATATCTCTTACAGCCACCCGGACGAACAAGGGCTTTCCAGACCTCATGCACCTCTTTACTGCTGTAAATATCAATCACTGCGACATTTCACCATTGCTTCGATACACTCACATGAGAAATTTTAGTGCAGCTGTCACTGACAATTGTCACAACCAGAAACCAAACATAATAATGTTTAGATAATCGAGAGTAGCTTCCTCTACTTCATTAGTGGAAGCCGCAGGTGCAGATTTTATTGAGCAAACGTCTTTTATAACAATTTCAAACAGTGAGGACATGTTTAACATCATCCACCTGATGGAAACACCATGGCCTTGAGCTCCTCACATCTTTCATTCTCAACCCACATTCTGCTAAGGCAGTAGGAGTTTTCAGCAGGCACGAAAGTTCCAATTGATCCCAGCAGGGTTAATTTGATGACCTAAAAACCGGGGAGTGGTTTCCCAGCAAGAAATCTTCTAAATACATGCAACGCTTGGGAAGGCTTGTCTGCTGGAACCATATGCCCTGCGTCTCTCACTGTCACAAACGTCAAGCCTTTGTACACTTGGGTCCATCCTCCCACCTGCGATGAAATCTCGTGTGAGCGTATGCTCTGTCAGTTATGGAATCTAGAATTGTAGAAAAATACTCCATGTGGACGGCAGTGAAGGGATTTTTCAATTAAATTGAAGAGCATGAATGGATCGACTTATACCTGAGTAGAGTGGTTCCATGGATACCATGGCACCTGCACTTCAAGGTCGAGCTCTCTCAACCAGTACCTTGTGCCCGTTGTCGGCACTACTCCGTCAATATCTCCACTGCAACAATACTAACGAAGTGACCATCTGGTATTTGAATGTCACACAATGCACTGTAAAATGAATGTCCTTGCAGCAGAGAGGAAGTAGTGGTGTTGTACCTGTAAATCCACATTTTTAGCCCTCTCGTGAGGAGGTACCGATAAACTGGCAGCATAGACTCCACCACGCTCGTCACACTGTATTGACTGTTGATTTGCAGGCTGTACAGGGGCACATTCACGATAAATTAAGTCTGCAAGCGCCGAAGTCTTTCCCGAGTTTCACATTCTATCATACCCGCCGAGCTTGTCAAGAATTGTGCAAAATTTAGTTCAGTAAAAAAAAGGCTAACCTGCATTCAGTCCAGTTGATCCCTGGCCGTGCATGAAGAGCAGCTTTCACTTCTGGCAAGTTGAGATACGGTGTGGTCGTGTCAGGTCCACAAAAGTTTGAGTCCTTCAATGCGAGGAAGAAGCTCGGCCTCGTCTGTCATTGTAAAATTGAATCTTCTTTGTCAAGGTCATGCAAATTCCAACACTCCTCTGTTTCAAAAGAATGGTGAGCGCAAGGACGGAGGCAGTTGCAAAGTTCGGTTATGCTTAGGATGGAGACTACCTTAGTGTTTTTTGCGGAGTCGTTAACGCTGATAGAGTTGCAGTTGCCAGCGTAGATGTTATAAGCATCAATTTCTGCCATTTCGAGGTTGGAGGCATGGCTAGCGGCGTTTCTGCAAGCAGCACTACTAGAGAATCCAACTGCAGGTTCCTGTCTATAATCACAGCTCTTTTGAATTTCGTTGTAGGTCTCATCCGAGATCAGAGAATGGTGGTACCAGAAATCCACAGCGCCCTTGTTGTCATAGTAGGAATCTGTCCACGGGTTTCCTATCTGGCCAGTATTTCCATATCATTCGACTTAAAAAATAAATGAGATTTCCAATCCTTCATCAACTTTACACATTTGCCAAAATTATTGATTGAAGTCTTTAAGAATGAACAAAGTACTCCTCGGCGGATCCTAGAAAGAGAGACGACAAAGTCTACGCACCAGGAATCCCTTAAGTTTGATCCTGAGCTTCCCGGGGATTTCGTTGTGGATCAGAATCTTCTTGGCAAGGTTTGGAGCGTAATGACCTGAAGTCAAAGCATCCCAAAAGTTTCAAAGTAGGTTAAAACTTAGAGAGATGAAGCATATGAACTGTAGCAGCTGATTTATTGCAAGGAAGATGAATTACCAATACCTGCATAGCTTTCACCAAGGAGATAAACGTCATTGCTCTGATACTGGGGAAATTTCGTAAACCATCCCACAAGAAAAGCCATAGCATCGATAGCTGTAGACAGCAGTTCAATGGGTTCGTCAAAAGACTCAAAATCGAACCAATTTGGTTACTCAATCTCGAAGTCAGGCATCGCCAGTAGACAAGGAAATTACCAGACAGCGTGACGGTGGTGAACAAAAAAACGCTATACCTGTCAGTTCGTCGTCCAAGTAATTATAGTCCGCCGAAGTGTTGGAATACGAATATCCAACTCCAACTGGCGAGTCCACGAAGACGATGTTCGAAGCTGCACACATGAATTCAAGGCGTATAGCTCAACGAGTCAATAGGAAGGGGTTCAAACCTCAACCAGAAAAACGTGGTAAAAACCTTCAGTAAAAGTCAGCACACAAAATGCAAGAGACATCTCAATCAGCCTGATTATTCGACCTTACAATTTCAACCAGGCGATTGAACGCTGGTGCATACTTCCATTTGAAATATTTGCAGGAAAAGAGTCTGAGAAAGAAGTGTATTGAACGTCCTTTTACCTTTGTTCCAGGAATGTTTATTGCGCACCAATCCTGACTTGCCAGCTTCGTTTGCATTGAAAAATGGACCTAATTCGTACATTGCACCTGCTCCTATAGATGAACATCCTGGCCCTGCAACAACAACAATGCCGGACCACCGCTCGTTGCTAGTACACTCGGTAAAATTATTGAGAACGCTGATGTGCCTTCACAGCAACTACTTTAATCCTTCGAAATCCTTGGCCAGGATAGGCAGAAGCCTTTCAGTTGTCCATGTAAGCTTAATGCATTGATTTTCTAGTTGCAGATACAGAGACAGATCATGATATGATGACGAATGAGGGCAAATAGCGCTGCCTGTGTTAGCCTAAACATCTGAAGACTTCAATCTGCAGAGACTTTTTGGAAGAAGGATGCGAAGTTTGTGAGTTGGGGAATCTCCAGGCTACTTGACCAATAAGATTGGAGCAACGAGGGTATCTGTTGAAATAAGCTTCTCCTCCGATGAGCTGATCGACTCCATAGAAGCATAAAAAATTAGGGGTCAGTGAAGTGAAGAGAATTTTCATTTTTTTACCTCCATTGAACCAGAACGAGACAGGCAATGTGCCTGCTTTCCGGTGGTCAGCTTCGAAGAACCAGTAGAAGATAGCCCTGCCTTTTCCTTCATTCACAGACACATATCCTGCGTAATGCTTGAAACGAACTGGAGGCTGACCAGGAAGCCTGAGCACCCTATGCGAGGGGTCTGCAGCAACGACCCAGGCTTGTTGCAAACACAGCGAAACCACCAAAGAAGCTAGCCACACACTGCATTTTATGCTCTCCTGCATCGTTTTTTTCCTTCTTTCAAATTCAAATTAGTTCGTCCTTGTGGAGCCGGCAGTGCAACCGATCGCACAAGTTGTCTTGGACAATATTTTATTTTGGCATGAGAATCCTAAAGAGAGGAAGAAAGCAGTGCGATCCCCGAGAATATTGTGACTCGTCAAGGTTATAGCGCAATTAACCCACCGCCCGGTTCGATTCGCAGTGACGTCACTGCTGATGGGAAAGAACTGCAGAACCACAGAGAAAGGTCACAACCAGCTTCGGACGCTTTGGACAATGCCCGCCCACACTGATCATCCCACTCATTTAGGGGCTGGATTGATAGTCCACCCACCACCAGCTTTTCTTCCATCGCCGCCACTCTACCCTCCCTCTTTCTTTTTCACCTCTAAATATGACCCTGGTTGCCCGACTCCTCCTCTCGCGATCAGTACACTAACCAAGAAAACTTCACCAGAAAATTCAAAATACTATGACAGTTTTTCTTTTAAGAATAAAAAAAAAAGAAAAAAAGAAAAAAACAGAAAGGAGAAAAAAACCCAAAGTGAAACAGAAACTGGCCACACCCCCACTCAACCCAAGGATCAACGACTCGCCCTACCAAGACAATTGATTGATCTTTCCATTACGAGAAGCTGGAAGCGGAGCTGGTGCGAGTGAGGACACTCCTAGAGACCACTCATCCGTCCTCGCAGCACCGTCGTCGTAGTCGTCATTGCAGCAAAACACTGCTGCTGCTGCTGCTGCAAGTGAGCAAGCAAACAAGCAGAGATCAACATGCGGAGCTCAGGAAACAACAAGTGTGCTGCTGGGTGGTGGTGGTGGTGGTGTTAGGGGATGGGGATGGAGAGAAGAAGCCTGCTCTCGTTAGTCACTCCAAGTCCTCGCACCGTCTACCGGGTCTCCTGCCCCGCCTTGCCGCTGCAGACAGCTGCTGCAAGGCAATGTGTGGCATGTACTTGACGGCAAAGACTGAGTGAGGGAACCGATCCCAAGGAGAAACGTAGAAGATGAGAGAAGGAGTGGCAGAGAGGGCCGCAAGAAGAGAGACCTGATTGTCGCCCGAGCCTGCGATCGGGATCAGTGCTTCAAGCTTCAAGCTCCAAGCTGGCGCAAAGCTCTGGGACAGGCAGGGGCAGTTGCAGAGCTGGGCTCGGCAGCGCGACCATTATGGTGGAAGTCAGCCGGGTGATGTCGCCAGTCCATGCGTCGTCCAGTCACACCGCTCCCATCACTGTCTGCTGAGCTTCTGCTGCTTCTGCAGCAACTGTTCTCACTCCAACAATTGCACTAAGTTACTGTGGCCCCAGCTTCCCCGGTGTCGCCTCCATCCCACCCTGGCTGGGCTGGCCACGCCCATCAGTGGTGGCAAACGTTGCAGGCAACGCAGCGTTGGTTGGGTGACTGTTACAGTCGGCGCTGGCGGTACCGCAGCAGAGGGGGATGAATCAATCAAATAGATCCACAGGCAAATTTCATTCCCCGGATTCCTCCGTCCTCCCCACCGCAGCACATTTTCTGGCCCTCTTCACTCCCCCTTCACCCCCACCTCACCCCACTCTATTCATTCATTAATTCATTCATTGTGGTGTGCATCTCTGCTTCCTCTGCGACCTTCTTCATTGTTGCATCATTGCCGTCCCTCACTTGCACCCATCTCCACGTCATTCCGCAATAGCACCACTTCTTAATACCAGCAATACCATAACTCCAATACACAACAACATTACAATTGCACCCATTGTCTTTCTCTTTCTCCACGTGTTTATGGCTCTCTGTGTGTGTGTGTTCATTGTGGCTGTGCCGTGAGTGGGTCATGTCATGGTTCGGTGCATTGCAATTCAGACACCCCAGGGGATCATTCCAGCCCACTTTGAGTGTGTGGTTGTGTGGGTTTGTATGGGTCTGTCTGTCTGTTTGTTTGTTTGTTTGTTTGTGTGTGAAGATGTCGCTGTGTTGCTGCTTCTGTGTTGTTGCTTCAGCTTCAGGAAAGCATCGTTGCATATCCTCCTTCCTTCCTTCCTTCATTCCCGTGTATGTGTGTGGGTTTTGTTGCTGCTTGGGTGTGTAGTCTTTTTTATTTTTTGTTTTTTGGTATGTTCGTGTTGTAGTTTGCAAACTTTGCAACATTTTGGTGTAGTTGTGATTACACTTCATTTATCGTTTGGGTGTATATTTTATCTTTGCTTCTGTTTAGATATGATTATTGATTTGTGTAATAGATTGCTAACTTGTATTAATGATTGTTTGACAAGGAATTTTGATCACAATTGTTGGTTTGATTGTTTAATTTTGTATGAAAATGATTGTAAACGTTTCTTTTTTTTCCAAAGTAGTATAATAGTTTAAAATTTGTGGATTGTTATCTTGTATGTTGTTGATGTTGTCATGCCAATATTATTGTTCTATTATTAAGGAGAAATCATACAATTAAAATAGGGAATTCTTAAATTGACCCCAATGTTTACTAAATTGATCCACCCATCCTAACCATCATCAAAAAAATTCTCTACTGTTAGATCTGCATTAGACAAAAACCAATGAAAAAATGGTTGGATCCTCAACCAATGATGATGGATAGGTCAATTTAACAATTTTCTTAAAATATAACATAAATAGAATATTTCATATTATAAATATATAATAAAATATCAATATAAAATTATTTATCATATATATACATATATATACATGATATATATCTATATATGTATAAATTTATACTTATTTTAGAAAATTTTAGTTATTAGAAATTAAAAGATTATAGAAATTTGTTTATAGGTTATAATACTTAAGTAAAAAAATAATTTTTCTATATTCATTTCTAAGCGATTAAACAAAACCATTTAATTTATGGTTAAATTAAAAAAATTTAAAAATCATTTTTTTTACAATTGCATAATAATAATCATCACATAATAAATCACATAAATAATTTTAATTTTAATTTATTTGTCAAAACTATATAAGTAATAATGATTTTATGTTGAAATTTGTGATTATGATAGTATAATTATTAAAGCTATATCTCAGAAAAAAAACAAGAAATTCATTAATTATGCTTAAATCTGTAGGAGTCGAAAAGGAAAAAGTGTTTATAATTCATAAGCATCTTATTTGTATGTTTAATAATTTTAAAGATTTGTAGAATATTTTATAATTTAATCATTTATTATTATGAGATAAAAATCTTAAAAAATAATAGAATTCCTAAGTTTTTTTAAGTAGTTAAATATAATTATACAATTATATATATATAATTACTTAAAACTCAATTTTTTTAATTAGAATTTTTATAAAATATTAATATTAATATCATTCTAACTTAGGTTAGAAAATTTATATAATTTCTATTTATTTATTCATTTTTTTTTTGTAAAATCAACCACAAAATATCCTACAATACTATGGTTTAAATGTAAAATTTTAGCTTTAAATTTTTTCATTTACAACTAAAGTTTTATTATGCTTCTTATTTTTATCATCATGCCATAAAATTTGTAATATTTCTTTTGATTTTAATTTTATTAGATACATAATCATTTTTTTAATATCATACTTATAGTATTATATTGTTTTTTTATTTTTATTTGAAATATAGTGAAAAAATATACCAATATTTATTAATAAATTTATTATTATTAGTGTATTTTTAAAATAATTTTTTATAGAATCAAAAGAAAATAAGTATATATAAATATCAAAAATATTAATTTAATCTTTGTAGTTGATATTGGGGTTTTATAATAATTAAAGTATTTAAAGTTTAGATGGTTAGATTTCAATCACCAAGTTTTTTATAGTTACTTGAGTTCTTTAAATAATTTTATAAAAGCTAAGATTAAATATTCTACATTATATAATTGAAATAATAAATATTTAAGTTTAAAATAATATGGTTAAAAACCTACTTAGCTTAAGACAATTAGAATGTCCAATTATCTTATTATTGATTAATGTTTTACTATAAGTAATTCCTCTATAATTAAAGTATCAAGTTTTAAAGCATAATAGAATAAAATTAATATTTAATTTTTTGGTCAAATTTTTTCAAAGCTCTCAAAAATTAAAAATAATCCTCTATGTAAAAAAATTAAGTTTAAAAAAAATTAAATTTTAATGTAACCTTTATTCTACCCAGTTTATAAAATAATTATATTATATTGTAAAGATGCCAAAACATTTTGAATTTTATAATCAGCCATTTATAATCGTTCATGTATCAAGAGTAAATCAAACAAAACGCTAAAAACTAAAACTCAACTTCTTTGATTTCCCCTATACAACTTTACATGCAAAAAATCGTTCAAAGTTTGCAATGATTGTGGGTACATTTTGTAAGAAACACACATCACAAGCACTTGAAAGGTGAACAACAAAACACCATGTTCATTCAAACACCAGGTTTACCAAAGATGAACAGAACACATTAGAAGTCAAGGTAAGATAAGACCCAAAATTTCATTGCTACAACTACCTGGCTCATGGAATCACAAACAACAGTTTAATGTAATATAACGAAGTCATGTTTTGTCTCATAGGTTGATGAATCAATGTTGAGACTCAGTGTCCTCGGAAGCAGCAGGCTCAGTCCTGGACCCAATTATTGACAGCCCAATTTCCAAGCTTAGAGTTGACCTTGACAGCACTGAATCCAACCGGAACTTGTAGGGCGGAATTGGAGACACAATTTGTACCAGGCTCTGTCACTTGTCTTGCATTTTCAAAAACTATTAAAAAGAAAAAGAGAAGTAAATGATTATAACAAAAATACAGAAGTTCTGCTACTGCTACGACTACGACTACTACCACAACAACTACTCAATCAAGAGTCAGAACATGGCCAAGGCAGTTGAGGGCTAAGTTGGCAGTGAAGGTTTACGAGGCCACGTTACTCCTTGCTGAATCCCGGCAGTATTGAATGGGCTTTGGGTTGCTTGTTCAATAGGACAAAGTAGAAACACTGTTTGTTTTTTGTTTTGTTTTGTTTTGTTTTTTTTTCTTCTTCATTCTTTGATCTTTGATACAAATAGAATTACATCTCTATTGCAGGTAATTTAAAAGTTACAAACCCCTACTAGGTCCAATCAAGGATATTAGATATTTACCTATATACTATTGACAAATGTACTAATTGGTCTTGATAATTTTTGTTTAGGTCTATTACCTATCCATGTTGCCAAAGTTCTATTTGTACATTATTGCTGAAGGAAAAACTAAGAATATTTTGCAACCTGAAGGGGACTATGTTTTGTATGTGCTTGTGTTTTGATCAAGAAATTCTTTTTTTAATCAATTAGTTTCAGCCATATTGTGTGGTATCTTGTTCTTGGTACCACATGGTCCCATTAAATGTTACATTGTTTCTTTTTATTCAAAGCGCCTAGATGACTATCTTATAAAGTAAAAGCTAAACTCAACTAACATGCTTGAATCTTCTACGGATGCAATATGCAAAGACACAATGAATCCACCAAGGGGTGAATATTCTAAGTCTTTATTCTTATGGACAATCAATCAAGGTATTATCTCGTAGCCTATGGCTATCATCTTGTCAGGTGCCATGATTCACGTTATCTCAAGACTTTAGTTTGAAAGCCCTTTTCATTGCTAGATTTGAGATGAGAAGGTAGAAGATGTATACTTACTACTTCCACATTCTTGTTGCTTAAAACTTCTAAAACTCATAGAGAATTGACTCCTTTATTTTCACCATGTAGATTAGACAACTTTGATTAATTTCATTACGGTTTCTTTTTTCACCACAAGTTAACCACAATTGCTCTATGTCAAATCATATCAATTTTTGAATATAGAGCATTCAAGATGAGTTAAATATTTTATAAAAGACAACTCTCCCTTCTATTGAAACTAGCTAAGATTCCATATTAAAGAATTAATGTGTCTATTACAAAAATAAATTATCTTCTTAGAGTATTTATTCTTTGTTATTTTAATATAGACTCTCCTAAGTAAGTTGGCAATGTACGTATTGCTAGTGTTTATCAATATGTATGCAGGGAACTGAGCCCTCCTTC